TCCAAAGTATATCTTATGTTATATTATGAATTTTTTTTTGAATATTTCAAATTTATTTAAGAAATAATACTATATCTCAACTTTTATTTTTCATACATTTCTTCATACAACTTTTTTTCTTCATACATAATCTTATTCTTCTTGCAATGTTTGTAAAACACGCTTTAAAAAAGTCGTAATTTAAGCCATTTGCAATTTGACAATTATCATTCATTATTTATATTCTGAAACTACATAATAAAAAACCACACTATATAATTACAAAGTTAAATTTACATTTGAATTAGTTGAAAATTTATCTTAATTTTTTTTTCTCTTGAAATGTAACTATGTCAGTCATTTCCAAAAATATTGAAATAAAATTATATCTAGAGTTTATAAATTGTTATTTTTGTAATAATTGAGACAATAGATTTTTTTTTTAAAAATTCAAATTATTTTATTTCATTGTTTTCTTGCTATAAACTGTTTTTTTAGTGATTGTTTCTTACACTGTGGTAAATTAAAAAGGTTTTTTCATTCTAACTTAAAAATTCGCCGTGCCATTTTGTATTATAACGCACCAGAAGAAAATTTTTTTTTACAGTACATTGCTTGATGCAAAGGATCTTTTTCAGAGTTTAATTCAGCTATCTCCCTCGAAAATTTCTCAAGCAATACTGATTTTTTTCACCACTTAAGTTTCCTCATTGTTAAACTTAAATTTTAAGTTGCAACTCATATTGCATATATTTTTTTTATTTATTTTTGCAAGGATTTTAAAACTATTTATGAAGTGCAGAAATTACGTAGCAACCTGTATGTTACTCTTTTTCTTGTAATTTTTTATTTAATATCATTATTCTTGTTTTAAAGCTTTTGAAGTTTATGCCTAGTCATGAGGAAAAAGTCATTTTGGAAGAACATAGCATAGAAATTGATAATATGACTAGAGCTGATAGATTTTTATTTGAAATAAGCAAGTATGCCTTATTTTTTTCTATTAAGTGAATTTGTTAAAAGCTAAATTTAAGGTATATCTTTTTCAACTGAAAATAAAAATGTAATTAAACTATTTCTGCAATATTTAAAATTGAATGTAATACAATAAAGCTTGAACTATCATAAAAATCCAATTGTTCGCCAAAATGAAATTTTTTTACTGAAAATTACCAGTCTCATATCTAAATAAATAATCAATTTAAATTAATTTATAACGATTGAGGCCCCTGGTTACCCATCAGCTGCTGGTTCTTTTGACCATTGATGCTGTCCTCTCTTTTTTTAAACACAACATTACCAAAGCAGCAACTAATATTAGATAACATCAGAAAATTAATAAAATCTAACGTTATCTTGCATAACTTCTAATATTAAAAAGATACAAAAAGTCACTGTTTGCATTAGTTTTAATGCTATATGTTGTTAGATTTTGTATTTTGATATTATCTTGTTTTGCTTTTTATTTTTTGGAGTAAGCCAGAGGAAGATTTGGATGGTAGTAGAATTATTAGGTGATATAGTTTTAATTAATTTTCTGTATTGCTGTGAAGCAGTAAAACATAGAACAATAGTTTTTATAATGTCATTCCATGTATTATTTACTTAGCAATACAGAAATACTAAATAAAATTATATTAGCGAATCCCATTACCATCCATTTTCCTCCTTCCTACTCCAAAGTATATCTTATGTTATATTATGATTTTTTTGTTGAATATTTCAAATTTATTTGAGAAATAATACTATACCTCAACTTTTATTTTTCATACATTTCTTCATACAACTTTTATTCTTCATACATAATCTTATTCTTCTTGCAATGTTTGTAAAACAAGCTTTAAAAAAGTCGTAATTTAAGCCATTTGCAATTTGACAATTATCATTCATTATTTATATTCTGAAACTACATAATAAAAAACCACACTATATAATTACAAAGTTAAATTTACATTTGAATTAGTTGAAAATTTATCTTAAATTTTTTTTCTCTTGAAATGTAACTATTACAGTCATTTCCAAAAATATTAAAATAAAATTATATCTAGAGTTTATAAATTGTTATTTTTGTAATAATTGAGACAATAGATTTTTTTTTAAAAGATTCAAATTATTTTATTGCATTGTTTTCTTGCTATAAACTGTTTTTTTAGTGATTGTTTCTTACACTGTGGTAAAGGTTTTTTCATTCTAACTTAAAAATTTGCCGTGCTACTTGTCCAGCCATACACCCTTCAAGAAGTAAGTCTTCAGTACAAAGCTGTATGGTGGCCATTTTGTATAATAACGCACCAGAAGAAAAACATTGCTTGATGCAAAGGATCTTTTTCAGAATGTTGTTTAATTCAGCTATCTCCCTCAAAAAATTTCTCAAGCAATACTGATTTTTTTCACCACTTAAGTTACCTCACTGTTAAACTTAAATTTTAAGTTGCAACTCATATTGCATATATTTTTTTACTTCATTTTTGCAAGGATTTTAAAACTATTTATAAAGTACAGAAATTACGTAGCAACCTGTATGTTACTCTTTTTCTTGTAATTTTTTATTTAATATCATTATTCTTGTTTTAAAGCTTTTGAAGTTTATGCCTAGTCATGAGGAAAAAGTCCTTTTGGAAGAACATAGCATAGAAATTGATAATATGGCTAGATCTGATAGATTTTTATTTGAAATAAGCAAGTATGCCTTATTTTTTTCTATTAAGTGATTTTGTTAAAAGCTAAATTTAAGGTATAACTTTTTCTACTGAAAATAAAAATGTTATTAAACTATTTCTGCAATATTTAAAATTGAATTGTAATACAATAAAGCTTGAACTATCATAAAAATCCAATTGTTCGCCAAAACGAATTTTTTTTACTGAAAATTACCAGTCTCATATTGAATGAATTTATCCCGCCATTCCCCAATTTAATATTAAGTCCTAAGTGACTTAATATTAGAAAATAATTTCTTTTGGTAGTCTCAGTTAATGATCAAAGTTCCTTGTTAAGAAAAACTTTTTGAGCTTTTTTGTTGCATTAGACCACCATTTTTTAAAAAGGGCGAAATGAAAAAAAATTATAGTACAATAAAGCATATTCTTTATGTCTGTCAGGGGACTGATATATTATCAGTGTATAAACACAACGGACGTATAACTTAAAAGGAAACAAAATGCAAATTCACCATTGAAATAAAAATTTTAATAATGACTTGATGGAAGCATTAGTTTTCAACCTAGTATTAATGATGTAGAAAACAATCAACATGGTTATTAATATAGTCAACAAAACAGCTGTTACAATTATCTGTCAGTGAAATTGTTTTGTGCTTTTAAAACATTTTTTGATTTGTAGGAATGTTTCTAAAAACTGTGCTCAGAGATATGAGATTTCAATAATGAAGTTCTTTTTAAAGAAAACTATACAAAGTTTTTTGTGAGTACTGATCTTTTATGCTTATCCCATTCTTTTTCAGCAAATAATTTAATCCCTACTCCCTATTCTTGACTACTACTTTTTTTATGGGACTTACTTGGTTGAAATTAGGGGGGAGGGATTCCTTTTCAGAGCCTTGCTTAGAACTTTATGAATCCAGGCGAAACAATTATATACTTCAAAAAAATGAGACATGTAACTAATTGTTTTTTTAACTTAAAAAAAAATTAAGATACATAGATTAAGAATAAACTGGAAATACTGTAAGTCTTCAGTACAAAAAAAAAACTGTATGGTGGCCATTTTGTATAATAACGCGCCAGAAGAAAAATTTTTTTTACAGTACATTGCTTGATGCCAAGGATCCTTTTCAGAATGTTGTTTAATTCAGCTATCTCCCTCAAAAAATTTCTCAAGCAATACTGATTTTTTTCCCCACTTAAGTTACCTCACTGTAATTTTACCTCACTGTAAATTTTAAGTTGCAACTCTTTTTGCAAGGATTTTAAAACTATTTATAAAGTACAGAAATTGCGTAGCAACCTGTTACTCTTTTTCTTGTAATTTTTTATTTAATATCATTATTCTTGTTTTAAAGCTTTTGAAGTTTATGCCTAGTCATGAGGAAAAAGTCCTTTTGGAAGAACATAGCATAGAAATTGATAATATGGCTAGATCTGATAGATTTTTATTTGAAATAAGCAAGTATGCCTTATTTTTTTCTATTAAGTGATTTTGTTAAAAGCTGAAGGTATATCTTTTTCTACTGAAAATAAAAATTTAATTAAATTATTTCCGCAATATTTAAAATTGAATTGTAATACAATAAAGCTTGAAATATCATAAAAATCCAACTGTTCGCCAAAATGAAATTTTTTTACTGAAAATTACCAGTCTTATATTGAATTAATTTATCCCGCCGTTCCCCAATTTAATATTAAATCCAAAGTGACTTAATATTAGAAAATAATTTCTTTTGGTAGTCTCAGTTAATAATCAAAGTTCCTTGTTAAGAAAAACTTTTTTAACTTTTTTGCTGCATTAAACCACCATTTTTTAAAAAGGGCAAAATAAAAAAAAATTATAGTACAGTAAAGCATATTCTTTATGTCTGTCAGGGGACCGATATATTATCAGTGTATAAACCAACGGACGTATAACTTAAAAGGAAACAAAATGCAAATTCACCATTGAAATAAAAATTTTAATAATGACTTGTTTTCAACCTAATATTAATTATGTAGAAAACAATCAACATGGTTATTAATATAGTTAACAAAACACCTGTTACAATTATCTGTCAGTGAAATTGTTTTGTGCCTTTAAAAATTTTTTTGATTTGTAGGAATGTTTCTGAAAACCGTGCTCAGAGATATGAGATTTCAATAATGAAGTTCTTTTTAAAGTTTCTATACAAAGTTTTTTGTGAGTACTGATCTTTTATGCATATCTCATTCTTTTTCAGCGAATAATTTAATCCCTACTCCCTATTCTTAACTACTACTTTTTTATGGGACTTACTTAGTTCAAATTAGGAGGGGGGGGGAGGATTCCTTTTCTGAGCCTTGCTTAGAACTTTATGAATCCAGGCGAAAAAATTATATACTTCAAAAAAATGAGACATGTAACCAATTGTTTTTTTAACATAAAAGAAAATTAAGATGCATAGATTAAGAATAAACTGGAAATACTATGAAATGACAAATAAATGAAAGANTTATTGCTAGTTTTCGACAGGAGTTTACTTTAAAACTATTCAACAATTTCTTCTTTATCTTGGAAAAGAAGCAGTTTTACTTATATCTTAAAACTATAGAAGAAATATTGATAGTTACAGATATTTTATTTTTCTCGAAAAAATGCTAAAATAAAATGTCTTTCGTAGCAGTGTTTGCTCTTTTCCATCTTACTATATAAGGGCTTTCAGCCTTTGTATACCCCCGCTGAAATGTTCCCGTACCCCTGGGGGTACGCATACCACACTTTGGGAAACACTGATTTAAATTGTCAATTAGTTGTCTTTATTTTAAAATATTTCTGTAGCCTTATGAAACAAAATTGAAAAAGTAAAATCATGTTGAATTAATTAAAATAAAATACTTTTGATTGTTAACTTTGTCATCTGGCTGCAAAAAATTCATATCCTTGCTGACATTAGGGCGGAATTCAGCTAAATTTTCGCCATTACAATGGCTCACTCAAGCCAATTAGAAACCTGTAATTTTGTAAACCTGTAATTTTGTATATCGCATTTTGCTATACGCAAAAATACAGGCTTTTGATTGACCAAATTTTTCCATCGTATTTGTGAAAATTTAACTGAATTCCGCACTAGATTGCCATGAATTTACAAAATATAGATTTTTTTTTTTTGTGTTCATATGATAGATTTATGAAGGAGTTAACATGAAACTGACTGATTCTACACTGTACACAAACTTTGTTAAAAAAAAGTTCATTAATGAAGGAAGCCTAAAATAAAGTTGTAATTCGGTTTAGGGAGCCCCTCTAATGTGGGGACAGGGGCAACTGGCCCTCATGCCCCTGCCTTTGTCAGTCGTTGAGTGTTTGACTGAGTAATGCTGTTATTTTTCTAACAAATAAATAGCAATAACTAATTTCATTCACTTTAAATATTTTTCTTTTTCAGAATTCAAACTTTATTCTACAAAAAAATAAATTGCAAGAAAGAGTGAGTGACTCAAAAGCAAAAAATAGAGGTATTTTCTTATCATAATTTATTGTCCAAAACTGAAAAATTTGTATTTAAAATTATTCCCATCATTTTTACAATGGTTTTATTTTTTTTTTAAAGAACGTTTTTTTAATTTTAGTGTTCAAAGTTATTTTTTTAATGATAAGGATATTTTTTTTCCATTTGAAGTTATAAAAAAAATTCTTCAACATTAAATATTTTATATTAGTTCATTAACAATACATCCTTTTTATAAAAATATACATAACTTTAATTACTCTGTCAATCCTTCACTTAAATAATAATTCAAGCCAAAATTTCTCTTGGTGATGATACACATCAGTAACAATCTCTTAACCGCAAGTTGTTGACTATGATATAAAACCACAAATATATCAAGGCATATAAAATTGTTGATAAATATTGAATTTTCTGAAAATGTTAGGTAATAAAAAAAAGAAACAGTTTTAAGGGAAAAATTATTCATTTGTTAACTTAGTTTTCCATTTATACAAATAAAGAAAAACCCATTATAAATTCAACAAATTACATAAATTTTAAAACTGTAGTCTCTGGCAATTCTGCACATAAATGACAGTCTTTAGACTTAAAAATTGTCCTTTGGTTGGAAAAACATTCATGTAAAAAGAGATGATTTCAATGAAATCTCTAAGTCTCCTTCATGGCGTTTTATGTGCTTTTATGATTTCTTAGCTGCAAACTTTACTGCATCAAAAAATCAATCCCTGCCCCTTGTTATTCAATGTTAGTGTATTGGTAGGAAATTTTTGCACAATTTTACCCAGGAGCTCAATGCTTATAGGGTCAAGTGAATTCTGAACAAATGTTTTAGTATGGTAATTATTCAATTGTTTTTATTTGTAGAAATTTTATTGAATATTAGGTTTTTTTGTGTCTTCTTTGATTTATTATTGTGATTATTTTCTGTATGAATAATTTTTTAGGTTCATTAAATGACAAACCTTTAAATTTGTCAAGAGTGATGTCTAAAAATATTCCTCAGCCATCAAATCCTTTAATTGGTGTAAACTACCAGAAGCAAGCAAAACAAACTTGCTTATTAATATGCATGTCAAAAAAGTAATTTATAAGTGTATAACCAATGTTATTTGAACCGTTTGGGAAAACTGTACAAAGATATTGATTTACAAAAATTTGATAAGACATTTTTTGCTTATCAGAAACAGCAGGTAACATTTTCATAAAAATTAGTAAAATAATTTTTTTCTCTGATTGCATTGGATTTAATGTATAAAATTAAACTTAGATTAAAATTAAAAATATAATCTGTGTTTTTTTCTCAATTTCTTTGTGTTTGTTCATAGGTAATATTCCTTTTAAGTTATGAAGTATTTCAGATTTTGATAAGTTTCTACTGAAATTTATTCTCAGTGCATAACTCTTGAACGTTCGTAAATATTGAGATTTTCTGTTTATTTCTAATTTGAAAACTGTGGTGAAATATACATACACATATATCTATAGTGAAGAAATAGGAATTACTCTACATTATTGTTAATTTTAAAAGATTATTACGTTTGGTTTGTGAAAATTAGTCATATCAGTTTTTCTTCGAAACAGCTTTTCTATATTAGTTAGGTTTCAAAATTAAAAAAAAAATTTTTTTAAACACACCCTAATTATCAAGTTTCAACCTTTTCTTAAAAAAATATCAGTCTCTTTGATCTATCCTTGCATTACAGAAAATCAAAAGCTATTATAAACGTATACATTTATATTATATAAGTGTACATTAGGGCGTATCGAAAAAATCAAAATTTCTTAGATCTTTTTGCGGTAGTGCGGAAAAGATGTGAACACCCATCATTAAAAATTGTGTGGAATTTTAAATCTCTGGGTCAATATCTTCTGTCGCCTCAGGGGGCCGAAAGTTCCGAAAATTGGACTAAAAATCATTAAATTGTAAAAAATAATAAACAAACCCATATTCGTTTATCGGTTTGGGGTAGTGTTTACTAGTTGCTATTCTATAATAAATACAACCATAAAAAATTTTAGAATTATATTTTAATATCTTCTGCCGCCTCATCGCCACAAAATTTTGGAAAATGAAGGCAAAAAATTTAAGTAAATAAACTTCACACTTACCTCATTTTAATGGGAAGAGAGACTTTATTTTACCTCTTAAACACACAAATAACAAAAGCACTACTGTTTGTAATCATTTTTTGTCTCAAATTTTGACATATGTTTTCTGGATTCTAGTGTCGCTCTAATAAATCTATCCCTGCTCAACAGCCCAACTGTTTTTTCCCGAAGCTGCTGTAACTAGTTTCACAATCCGCTCCACTACTTGTGTGTGTGAAGGAAATTTAATAAAGTTCCAGCAGTCCATTGGCATACCGCGCCTTATGCCTTATCATCTTCAGAAGTTCTTGAGAA